TGACTCCCACATTTGATTGAGTATTGAAAGGGTAACAGCAAAATGATGATTGTGGAGATGGATCTGTTAGGTCTCATATTGGTCCCCTGGTTGAAACTTTTTTCAAAAAAGCCCCCACAATGGGCCTGTCACCTTGCTAGTCATCCATTCTTAATGCCTATTTATCAGCCCTCTGAAGTCATATAAAAGTTACACCTTTTGAACCACAAGTATTTGTATTTACTATAGGAAAGGTGTGGACTACAGATTAGTATTATATTTAATGGATTTTAAGTAATTTATAAGTATGCTGAGTGTAAATTTTTAAAGAACTGTATTATAAAAGGACATATCCTGTGAAATATAACATTTTACTATTTAATAGAATAATTCTATAAGAAGAATGATTTGTCTCACCCACGGAACTGATTACATTCCGGATGCAATCAACAGGCACTTTGTAATTTCCTTTTTGTTTTTTTTCTTTGCGGGGGGTTGAGGGGTAACAAGACATCATCTGTATAAAGTGCAGTTTGTGTCACTCAAAATATGCACTGTATGGCTACACAAAAGCAGCTTGATGAACAAATCACCCTATGGCTCATTAAAGAACAAAGCTTCCAGAAGCAGCAATATGTGTGGTTTGTTTTCCAACCATCCTGGCTCCCACTCCAACTATTCCAACCCAACTCCAAGAAACAGCAGTGACTTCTTAGTTACACTGATGTGTTTTCAGGAAAGGACTCAACCCACAGTTGACAAAACACAGAGGTGGTAGTCACTGGAACTCAACTGAATTCAAGTAAAGGTGTGATTCAAGGTGTTTTTTCTGTAGTAGATGCAGGCTGCTGGCTGTCAAGACTTCGTTTAATCGGTTTAAGGCTAGAAGGGCAGGAAAAGCAGTAAATCTGCATTTAGGATCCTCCCCTAAATTGGCCACTTGAAGAAGTAGCAAGGTTGCTAATACAGGGCTCAAGGATTCTCACTGAAAAGCAAAGCAACACATTGCAATAGAAACAGAAATTTTAACTCAGTTTGTCATTTTTGTTCTGCCACCAACTTTACTGCATGACTGGGAAAGGCATTTGCTCTCTCTAAATGTTAGTTTTCTTATCTGGAAGTCAGTTCTCTTTCCCAGTCTCCCATATTTGGAGAACTCCTACTGACCCACAGGTTTTAATGTAAAAGGCAGTTGTCCTGGGAAGTTTGCTCTGACCCCATGAATTGGGTTAGAGGTCTGTGTTCTCAACAGCTGTCAGTATTCATGGTGTCAAACACTTGCCTGTCTTGCTGACTCTTAGATCCCAGCACCTAACAAAAGGTGCTGGGCAGATATTGGATGAGAGGATTGATTAGGATCAGTGGTTCCAAAATGCCAAATCAGGTCTAAGGTTACATGGGGAAAAAAACATGCAGTGATTTTTTTTTCCCTAATGCCAAATGTATTCAATTTTTAAAATTCTGGGGTCATCCTTCTCACTTGTTTTTACGTTAAATTTACATTTACATTTTTGCATTAAATTTACATTGAAATATGAATAGTGAGTGTTAATTGTTTAAAATTCCCTTAGTTGCCCATATAAAACCTACAAATACCATTTTTATTTATTTTTATTTTTTTGAGACAGAGTCTCACTCTGTCACCCAGGCTGGAATGCAGTGGCACAATCTCGGCTCACTGCAACTCCCACCTCCCAGGTTCAAGTGATTCTCCTGCCTCAGCCTCCCAAGTAGCTGTGACTACAGGTGCCTGCCACCATGCCTGGCTAATTTTTGTATTTTTAGTAGAGACTAGGTTTCATCATTTTGGCCAGGCTAGTCTCGGACTCCCGACCTCAGGTGATCTGCCCGCCTTGGCCTCCCAAAGTGCTGGGATTGCAGGTGTGAGCCACCACGCCCAGCCTAAATACCATTCTTAAAACTTGCCCCTGAGATTACTGAGTCAACAAGTATTGTGATGATGAAGACCTGAGAACAGAAAGATACATAAGAAGAGGCAAGTTATACAGTGACCAGAGCTTTGATTTGTTTTTTAAAATTGCTTTTGCCCCTAGAATCGGTGGCAGTACGGTGTCTTAGAGCCAGAGATAGAACCGTGAAAGTAGATAAGGTACATGTAATATCTGAATGTTGAATCTTGTAGGTATGTCAGACTCACAGTCAAGGAGTGTATCACCCACAGGCATTGTCCTAGGTGCTTAGGGTACATTAGTGAACAAAGATCTCTGCCCTGTGGAGCCTGCATTCTAGTGGGGAACACCAGTGATGTCCACCAGATGGAGACTAGTCATCTGCAATACCTGGGTTGACTATCGGGTTGCACTTCTTGGCATCTTTAAGTCTTTCCCTGCCCTTCCTACCTTGAAATATCCCCTTGTGGGTAGAGAAGTGTCTTGTGAATCTAAAAACTAGCTTCATTTGAAAAGGCCCAGATAGTCCCACAGGGACTACCTCTGTGGTGCTTCATAGCCAAAGACATTTCTGGCATTGAGGGAAGAAAAAAAAAAAAAAAAGCTTTTGAATTATCTCTTCTCCTAATAAGGACCCTAAATGCAATGAAAAAGCCATTACTCATCAGAATTTCAGTAGAGCCAATCTGCAACAAAAAGTTGAATAATAGCTGTCATCCTAGGTGGTTTACAGACAGGAATTTGTATTCCTGTCTGTAAGACATGCTGAGAGCTGCACCAGATTAGGAGAACAGACGCCACTTTGTATTCCAGGTGAGATGGACTTAGTACAGAAATTAGGATCTGACAAAGGTCAGACATACTCCCACAGGTCAAGAAAGCCAATACAAATCTCAGCTAAAAGTCCCAGAGTTCTCAAGAGCTTGCCTGGAAGCTAGTGCAATTCTAGCCAGGAGGCTGCTGTGAAATCTATTTTCCCACGACGTGGCTGCAGTGTCTCCAAAGAAAAATGGCTTCTCTTTTTCCTAATGCCAAATTTAATCAGTTTGGCATTAGGGGGAAAAAAATGTCCTGTGAGTGCCTTTTATTAGCAAGTCCTAGGAGAAAGGGTTTCTGGGAAATGTAGTTCTTTCCTGGCATCTGTGCAATGAAGAAAAGCCCTTAGAAGTGGGGAAGGGGATGGTATTGATGCCAGATTGACAGCAGACAATCCAGCTTATGTACTTCCTCTAATTCTCCAAGACTTCTTGGAGAGCCCTCAAATCTCCTTCCCAATGTAGATGTACTGTGCTCACACATCCCAGATGCTAGCCTGTGAACTTCAGCAGGCTACCTTTGCAGTCTTACCATGTCCCCCAAAGCCAAACTGTAAGATAAATATGCAGGACTGGTCATGTCATATTTCAACCATGTGTCTTACTAAGGTGGCTTTGCTTAGGCCTTAGCTCATATGGATAAAACCTTTGATAGGGAACTGGACTGTATAATGGCATTATAGACATTAGATGACCGGATTAACTGAGGCCACTCTGATACTTTCAAAAGTTGGAGAGAATCTGAAGTAGCCTGGGGGCTGAAGAAAGAAGGGCTTCAGCTGGGCAGCATTTCCCATACTCTTTCTGGCAACAGCCCTGGCTGTTCTCAGTTCCTGAATAGACAGGGCATTTCTGTCAGCTAAGGGAGTTCAAACACAAGCCAAAGGACAGGGAACCCCTAGGATTGCTCAGACTTCTCACATGACCCTTTCTGTCTTGATTTCAAGCGCTTATCCTTTGAAGGCAGAAAATGCAACAGAATTGTTCAGTCTTTCATTCCAAAAGTGAAGGGGGAGTGGGAAAGGGGCAGTGCCAGACTTAAGCAGCATTAGGTAGAGTCACACCAAGGTTTGAGTCCTCTCTAAACAGTTTTTTCATTTATAAATGGAGAAAATTAGCCTTTCCCTCAGAGTTAATCTGAGGATTAAATGGCAATTTTAAAAGTCCCCAGCTCACTGCCTGCTATTAATATATACATTGCCTGATCTATGTTAATGTGTTAAAATATTATTTTCACGGTCATCTGGGTCTATGTTCAAAATTGGCCAGGGTGCAGTGTGGCTCAAACCTCTAATCCCAGCACTTTGGGAGGCCAAGGTGGGTGGATCACCTGAGGTCGGGAGCTCTAGACCAGCCTGGCCAACATGGAGAAACCCCGTCTCTACTGAAAATACAAAATTAGCTGGGTGTGGTGGTGCATACCTGCAATCCCAGCTACTCAGGAGGCTGAGGCAGGAGAATCACTTATACCTGGGAGGCAGAGGTTGTGGTGAGTCAAAATTGTGCCATTGCACTCCAGCCTGTGCAACAAGAGCGAAACTCCATCTCAAAAAAAAAAAAAAGAGAGAAAAAGAAAATGATGAGGGTTGTCTGAGCTGTATCTTTCCATAATGACCTAAGAAGTGATGAAGAGTCCCTTTCACAAAAAGTACCTGTAACTGCCTTATGTTAAGTTTCAGGGTGTTCACCTTTACTTAGGAAGGAGGTGAGGGAGATGGGAGATAAAGGTTGAGACATGCTGCGGGTGATGGGATGCCATCTGGAGAGAAGCTGGGTGGTTGAATTCTATGGGAGATCCACTGGGCTTGAATTCATTGCACCTGGTCTCTGACTTGGAGTGGAACCCAGATGGAACTCAAAGACCTTGCACTCATTCCTTCGGTGTCCTCAAAGGGAGAGCCTTGACAACACTCATTTTTCTGTTTTATTTTATTTTTTAACTTTTTTATTGAGGTCTAACAAAATACAGTAAAGTGCACAGCTCCATGAATTTTTACCTATGAATACATTTGTGAAACCACTGCCCAGATCAAAATCAACATTTCTAGTACACCAGAGGGCTCCCATGGGCTCTCTCTGAATCAATCCCCTGCCACCCAGAAGTAACCACTATTCCAACTCCTATTACTGTCAATTAGTCTTGCCTGTTCCTGAACTCTGCCTAAATGGAACTTCTGCCTGGTTTCTTTCATTCAACTTTTATGTCTGTGAAGTTTACCCGTGTTGCCACATGTATCCATAATTCATTCTTTTTAAGTTATTTTTCATTATATGAATATACCACAATTTGTTAATTCATCCTACCATCGACGTATAGTTTCGGGCTATTATGAATAAAGCTGCTATGAATATTCTTACAATATCTTTCAGTGGGCATCTCTGCTGGGTACACACACCTACGAGGAATTTCTGGGGCAAAGAGTAGGCAAATGTTTCGTTTCAGTAGATTGTTTTCCAGAGTGCTTGGAAACATTTCACCTCCACCCCCACTAGTTTTTGAACATATCACAAAGGAGCTTCTCCATTGGAGTGTTCCCTATGGTCTTGCGGAAAAAGAGGAGCTCGATGCGTTCCGCAGTGATAAACCTCAAAGACGGGAGGAGCAGGAGCAATTTCCCAAACCTGAACAGGAGAGAGGATGCCATCAGTTTTACGACCAGCTTCTGAGCACTAGTCCTTGGAGCAGTGCCCTCCCAGGAAAGGCAAGGAGGAAGCAGAGGAGAGATGAGGTCCCCAGAGCAGGTCAGGAGGAATTTCGACGAAAAGCCACATTCAGGCCGGGCGCGGTGGCTCACGCCTGTAATCCCAGCACTTTGGGAGGCCAAGGCCAGCGGATCACAAGGTCAGGAGATCGAGACCATCCTGGCTAACACAGTGAAACCCTGTCTCTACTAAAAATACAAAAAAGTTAGCCAGGCGTGGTGGTGGGCGCCTGTAGTCCCAGCTACTTGGGAGGCTGAGGCAGGAGAATGGCGTGAACCCGGGAGGCGGAGCTTGCAGTGAGCCAAGATCGCACCACTGCACTCCAGCCTGGGTGACTGAGCAAGACTCCGTCTCAAAAGAAAAAAAAAAAGAGCTATTTGCTAAGACAGGAGTCCACAACACAAAAGACAGATGGTGAAGCCCCAAGAGACAGATGGGGGAACCAAACCTTCCCTGGGTAGGTCTGATGGCCAGGGTCAATGCCCAGCCTCGAGGAGGCTACTCCACACTGGGCAGCCCCAAGCTCCCCTCACCGGGAGTTTCTGGGAAACCTTCCCCACTACTCAGTGATCTGCTGGACTTGCTCTGCCAGCCTAAGGCCTTCCTTTCTCTTGCTAGTGCCAAGTGAGCAGCACTGAGCAAGTCATATACCCCTCCCATCTGCCTTCCCTGCTTCTGTTTTTCTGATCTAAAGAGTGGGAGGAAGAAGACATAACTATAAAGTCAGTTAGAGAATGTTTTTTCCAAACTGTAGGTATTCCTCCACTTAGTGGGTCTGAAATTAAATTCAGTGGGTCACAATCTGCCTTTTCTAAACAAATAAAAGAGAAATATCAGGTAAATTGTACAAGGTAAGGGTAGGAATTACTTCATGGAACTTCACTTCGGTGTCTGTGTGCGTATCAGGGGGCGATGGTAATTGTGTTTCTTCCTGGGCGTTGCAGTTTTTAAAAACTGAAATAATATGCTAGATTAGAGAACCCCAAACCACTATCTTCACACTCAATTCTGCTTGTAGTAGGCAATGAACCACTATAGAAGGGGCATAGGAAATCTTAATCAGCATTATGAAATTTGACGCATAACCAATATGCCAGGACATCTCTGGGGGCTGGTTCCAACAGAAACTTGGCAGAGAAAGGCTGCTGGTTTCTGAATGTCTCCGATGCCCACTCTTCAGATGCTAAGTCAAGTCTTAGTAGTAGCAGCGTTCTCCCTATGCTCATAAGCAGCACAAATCTTCCTGTGCTGTGTGGCATAGACTTTGTATACTGTGACTTTTCTTAAAAGGAAATTACCTCTTCTCCTTGTAATCATTTCTCGGATTAGAGATGATGCAAGGATGCCCATATTAGCTCACTTCTTCAGAAAGAAACTGCTGGGAGCCCCAAAGAATGCAGATAACATGGTCTAAAATAGCCAGTAGATGCCTGAAGGCCAAGTGTTCCAACCTTGCTGAGGCTCCATGACAACTGCCCATGCTGGGCCAGACAGCATAGTCCCAGAGCACTGGCTCCTGCCCTACCCTCACCCAGCCACACTCAGCCTGCAGCATCTCTCCTCCAAACCTAGCCAGGGCCATCCATGTGCTTGGCATCTCTACAGGATGCTCAGTGCACCTCCAAAACACCTTATCATCTTCCCTCAAAACCGTCTTTCCTCCTGGCTTTCCTTTTTATTGTTTTAATAACGTCTTCTCCCAAAGAGCTCCTCTTCCCTCATTCCTTACCTTCACCCAAACACTGGGTCTGACCTATTCCAACTCCTAGAGTCTCCCTTCCGCTCCCCCGGCCATGCCCAAAGATCAGAACTCCATGGAACCACCTGGAAGGTGGCAGTAGCTGCCACCCCCTTCCCAGTTGTATCCTCTGTACCCATGGCCATGCCCGTCTCCGTGAGGTCCAGCCCTGTGTATGACACACTCCTGCTTGGAAACCTGCAGTAGCTGCTCTCTGCCTCCCAGATCAGACGTGGCCTTTGGCTGGCATTCAAAGTCCTGAACGGACTGGTCCTGGCATACTTTTCTGGCTTATTCTCCCCATTTCTCACTGGCAGGAACCTGTTATACCTTCAAAGTGGGCTCCTGTCCTAACAACATATCATGCTTGCCCCTCTCTCCCTTTGCAAATGATGTTTTCTTTTAGACTTCTTCCTTTCAAGTCCAGCCCTGTCTCCCCAAGTCCCTCCCAATTCTGCTTTACGCTGCCCATGCCAAAGGGTCTCTGTCTCCTGCAGATTCATGCAACCCTCAGTACCTGGCTAGGGCAGTTTGCATCTTCAGTGCAGTCACTGCTGGTTGTCTCTGGAAGGCAGTAGCTTTGTCTTATGTACATCTTGGTCCCCACCCCGGGACCTGGTACTGTGCCTGGGACACAGTAGATGTTTGCTGTGTGCCACTGAACTGAGACCCTTGTGCTGTCTAATCAGTGAGCCCTGGGAGGGCGTGGGAGAGGCGGGGAAAGGGTAGAGAGGGCAGGGACAGATGAGTGGGTGGGCGCATGCTCAGGTCACCTCACGGGCTGGCTGGGGTGGTGGGCCTTGCTGTGCTGGCTCAGCATCACTTGGGACTGGTCCTGCAAGGCCTCTACATGCTCAGGATCCTTCAGGCCCCGCGTCTCTGGGGAGAAGCAGCACCAGTGAGCTTAGCACAGGTTTACAGCTGTTATAAGGCTGGCCATGAAGTGGTGGCCCAGGGCTCTGGCTGCAGACATGGGCGTGGGATCCTGTGGGGTGGGCTTTGCCAGGGCCAGGGGAGCCACGAGGGGCTCTGGTGGGGGCTCAGGGTCTCCCAGGGGCTCCCAGCCTGCCCTGTCCCCTCACAGTCAACCAGGAGTGGCCCCAAGGAGAAGGGAGTCCAGCCTCACCCCTTTCCTCTCGCCCCCCAGGATAGAGGCCTACACACATCTGCACACATGTGGGTGGTGCAGGGAGAGTGAGAGGCACAGGGAAGTCACCAGAATTCCCATTCAAGGCTTAGACAGAGACTCAGCTACCTGGCTTGAAGAGGACCAGGGCCTTCATGCAGGCGAACTCCGTGGGGTCCACCGCCAACGCCCGGAACCGAGAGATAGTTTCCCGCAGGACACGCGTCTCCATGCTGGCCAGTGTGAGTCGGCCCTGGGCACCACCAGCAGCAGAGGCCTCAGGCGGTGCCAGCAGAGGACAGCTGTCCAGAGGCAGAGACCACTGGATGGCCCCGAGGAGGAAAAGTTCACTCCATGCCTCTTCCAGCAGGATCACCTGTGCTCAGAAAGGGATGCCTGTTATGGCAGACACACAGCTTCTCTGGCTCAGTCTGGAGGCTCTGCCACCATCTCAGGCACCCAAGGAATAGAAGTGCTGTCCTGGGACTCGAGAATGCTCTCCTGACATCAGCCAGGGGCCCACAGCTCTGGGATTTGGCACCATCTGGCTCAGCTGCCTACCATCTGAGACACTGTCTGGGTTCCATCCAGCGCTGCAGCTGGGACATTTAGAAACGCCCAGAGCCATTTGAAGTTGGGCAGCCTCAGAGACTTGCCTCATGAGTGTCCTAAGTTGAGTGTATTCAAGAGGCGTGGCCTGACTCTTCTGAGCTACTCCACCCCAGCACACAGACTGGCTGAGGGCCTCAGACCCTCCTTGTGCCTCTCCTCCTGGCTTTCCCGAAAGATCTGCTTGCCCTTTAGAAGCTGAGAAGGATGGCCCAGAGCCAGAGAGACTGGACTAAAATGCAAGCCCTGAAGTCGCAGGCACTTGTGCTCCAAGAGGCCTAGAGTCAGCCACTCAGGCTGTTCAGGGTGTGTAGGTCACTTGTCACCCACAGAATGTCTGCAGGGCCTGAGGGTCTTCCAGAACTTAAGAAGACCCTGGGCCCTGTGGGTCCCTGGCCACCATCATCTCCTAGGGGTGCACCCCGACCATCATCCCTGCACCGGAGATGCATGCACCCCCACTGTCACCATCCCTGAGATGCACCCCGGCCACTGCTGGCTCAGAGGTGTGTGTGTCCCCAGCCATCACCATCCAAGCTGTGTGTACCTCCATTCATACTGGCATGGGGATGTGTGTGCCCTGTCTCTGTGACTCGAGTGGGCCGCCTGACCCTAGCCCAGCCTAGCTCCCCAGCAGGCAGGCCGGTCGGTACCTGATCCCGGAAGGGCAGGCTGGAGAACACAGGCAGGTTCTTGGCCCACTTGATGGCCATGAAGAGCAGGCGAGCTGAGGTTTCATGGATGCTGTCCAGGCCGCAGGGGGAGGAAGAAGAGTATGGAGAGCAGGGGAACTCGGGGTCATTGCTGGTGACATCAATATTCTCATCAGCTGTTGGAGGAGGAGGTTGTGATCTTAGCATCTGCTTCTCAGGAGGTGGCAGGGAGTGCTTGGGGCCCGGGGAAGTGAGGATCAAGGCGAGGCGCTGCAGCCCCACTGTGACCCGGGTAGCCAAGCCTGCTGTGCTCTCAGCCGCTCTCCCACCTACCATCCTCTGGCTCCAGCTTAGCACAGGTTTCAGCTGTTATAAGGCTGGCCATGAAGTGGTGGCCCAGGACTCTGGCTGCAGACATGGGCGTGGGGCCCCGTGGGCTGGGCCCTGCCGGGGTCGGGGGAGCCACCAGGGGCTCCGGCCGGGGCTCCGTGTTGGACTCCACGCTGTCCAGGCGGACCTGGGCTGTGCTTCGGGGCTGGCGCTCGTTCTGCACAGCTGGGGAGGCAGGAAGGGTCAGAACGACACGCCAGCCAGTCCCGCTGCCCATCTCTTGTCACGTCCCCCCCCGGCCAGCGCCCTGCCTCACCGTCCTGGTTCATGCCCGCCTGCAGGCACTTCTTCAGCCGGCAGGCCTGGCACTGGTTGCGATGCGCCTTGTCCACAGGGCACATCCCTGCCCCTACCTGGCACCTGCAGGCGAAGACGAGACCCCGGGGGTCAGTGTCCCTCCCAGGTCCCGAACCATGGGTTTGGACATTTTTGCCCAAGCCCCTCCTCCCCTGAACGCCCCCTCACCCCTCCAGAACCCCTCAGGGGCAGGAGCCCAGCAGGGCCCACCGCCCTCACCTGTAGATGAGCCTCCGCCGCACGCTCCTCTTGAAGAAGCCACTGCAGCCGTTGCAGGCATAGATGCCGTAGTGCTTCCCGCTGCTGCTGTCTCCGCACACGCGGCACTGGAGCGAGGGGCTCACGCCTGAGGGGCAGGGGGCAGGGCTGGGCAGGGTCAGGGCCGCACGCTCCCCTCCGTCCCTCAGGTCCTTTTCCCAGTCCTCAGGCCTCGTCCACCCGCATTTGAACGAACCCACGCGTGACTCTTCCATCCGGAGAAGTGTCTCCCTCATTGTGCATCCACACCCCAGCCCCCAGCCCCATTCCCTGCCCTCTCTCCTCCCTGAGTGGAATTTTCAGCAAGAGTCCAAGCCCTGGCTCCACTTCCCTAGCTCCCATCCCTTCTCTGTGGGTGGCTTCAGGTTCCCTCCTCCCACAGAAACATTCTTGTCAACACCACTAGGGACCTCTGGGCTGTTAAGCCCTAAGGGCACTTCTCTGTTCTTTCCTTCCCCATCGGCTGGGCTGTCCTGTCCTGGCTCTGCAGCCCACCCGCCCCCAACCCCCCTCCCCACCCCACTGTGTTTCTAGGAGTCTGGGTTTGCCGGCAGGCTACCCCACCCTTGCCCACAGCCGGTGGGGCTGGGTCTGAGTTGCTCTGGCTCCTTCCATGGTTCCTGGGAACCTCTGGCCCTTACCCTGCGCCCCAAGGGCCCAGACCTGACTCTACCTCCAGGAGAAGCCATACCTGTTGGATCCTCCCCCAGGCCCCACCTGCCTGGAGACTCCTTTCTGGAGGCAGCCCCAGCTGCAGGCGCAGCTGCAGCCACCGTGGAGCTCATCAGAGCTGTTGGTCTGGTCTTGGTGGGTTCCAGGGCAGCCTCTGCCTGCCTGTGGGAGGCCTGGGTTGCTGAGCCGGGCCCAGCCTCTACCTCAGTCCATGAACCTCTGTCTCTCTGCCCCTGTCTCTCTTCTCTCTCTGCTCCTACCTCTCCGTGGCAGCCCCCTCTGCCTTTGTCTCTCTCCCTGTCTCTGTGTCTCTCTATGGGTCTCCGCCTCTCGGTCTTCCTGCCTGAACTCTGTCTGAACTCAGGAGCTGCCCCAAGGTTCCGAAGCCCCTCACAGCTGAGGCTCTGGCTTGAGGAGATTTCTCCCGGGGCAGCCACTGGATGCAATTTATGATCCTCTTAATCTTTACTGTCTCCATAGGGGATCAGTCGGCCACACCTGCAGCATTACCAAGGTGCCCTGGGAGCTGGTCAGTCCTGCTACCCCATGCTGGTTCCTGGGCTGCCCAAGGTCCCCCGGGGCCCTCCTGCCCTATGTGCTCAGATGTTCACCATTCCATGCCACATCTTGAAGAGATGTATGGACTCCACTTCTCCCAAGGACTTTAAATCTTTTTTTTTTTTTTTTTTTTTTTTTTTTATACAGAGTCTCGCTGTGCCACCCAGGCTGGAGTGCAGTAGCGTGGTCTCAGCTCACTGCAAACTCTGCCTCCCGGGTTCAAGCGATTCTCCTGCCTCAGCCTCCCGAGTAGGTGGGATTACAGGTGCCTGCCACCACGTTTGGCTAAGTTTTTTGTATTTTTAGTAGAGATGGGGTTTTGCCATGTTGGTCAGGCTGGTCTTGAACTCATGACCTCAAGTGATCTGCCTGCCTCAGCCTCCCAAAGTGCTGGGATTACAGACGTGAGCTACCATGCCTGGCTGGACTTTAAATTCTTTTGAGCTGCTTGGCACACGTCCGAAGGCAAGTGTGTGGCCAGTGTGTGTGCCTGTGCCTGTGCGGGCCCTGCCTGAGACACTCCCCTTGGGTCCTAGGTAGCTCTGGCTCTGCCCCCCAAGTTTCTCACTCCAATCCCTTGGAAAGAGACTGCTTCAGGCTCACAATTTGAGGATCCAGCCCCCACCAGAAGGCTAGCAGTCCCCAGACGCCTGGCACAGAGGATGCTCCCAGAACTGTCCCCCGTAGGGTCTGAGGCTGGCCTGGAGGAAAGAGGCTCGGAGCTCCATCTGGGGGGTCTCCTTCAGGCCTGTAAGGGAGCAGAAGAGGAGCTGGCAGGCTCTTTCCTCACCACCTGGAGAGTCAGGCTGCAGGACAAGAGCCGGTGAGGACATAGCCACCTTAAGCCTGGCCACGGGCTCTCAGGAGGCCTCCCCTTACCCCCAAACTCAGCCTCACAGTTCTGCCGGCCCCTCGCCACGCCAGCCCCTGCACTGCCGCCAGGCCCAGCCTTCCCAGCTCAGGCCCAGCGATGCCTCTGCTCCTGTGGGAAGGAGAGGGAAGGAGGAACCTATGTGACATCCTTGTCTTATAGCAAGCCCCGGACCCCCGCAGGGAGTGTGGAGAGAGCAGAGGCAGACCCAGGTTCAAGTCCCTTCTCCATCACCAGCCAGCCTTGTGTCCCTGAGAAAGTGACTCAACCTGTCCAAACTTCAGTTCCTCACCTGTAAAACAGGATGAGGAAAGCACCTGTCCTATGGGTATAGTTGGGGAACTAAAGACAGTGGTTCAGGAAACATGTTTCAGCGCCTGGTACTCAGTGAGAACCTAATAAATGGTGCGTGCAGTTGATATTGTTATTATTCTTGGGGTTATTGAGAAGATCACACTCAGAAGCTTTTTCTTGCCTGCTCCTCCGCCCCCAGCCCCACTTGCCAGCCCCCTCTCTGCCCGGGACAGGGCTGAAAGCCCATGTTGTCCTGGAAGGGACCACTTGTTCCCAGCAGACCAGAGCTCACCTCTGGGTGAGCTGGGGTGGGGTTGGTCCAGCCTTAGACCCCAAGGGGAAGCGGGCAGAGCGTGAAGCTTCTAGAAGGATCACAGAGTTAAGGGGACAGGGGGCGGGGCCTAGCCCTTATGTAAGTGGGGTTAACCCTCCCTGTGACAGAGAAGCACAATTGGGGATTTGGGAAGTCAGCTCGAGGGGCTTTGCAGGGTAATCCGCTTTCTGGGGCCTCAGAAGATCGAGGCCACCGGGCCGGGTGCTCTCACCTGTCCTCCTCTCCTCCATCCTCACCCCTCCCTGCCTCCTCTGCCAAAAAGCCTCTCAGGACAAGGTCTCCAGCTCCACCTAAGACCGAAGCTGAGGGCATCCTCCATGAACTTGACTGGCCACTGCCTTCTTCCCGAAGCCGCTCTTTCCCATCTCTTCTGCAACACGGGTCTTTGTCTTGAACTTGTCATCGCCTCCATGTACCCAGAGGCTGGTCCCAGCAGCCCTTCCCGCTCTCTCCTCGGGCAGTCTCACACATACTCACAGCTTCCACGGCCACTTCACATCACTTCCACTGTGGAGTGCAGCTCCACATGCCCCAGACCAACCCACCCCCAATTTATCTGCACAGAGGTAGTAACCCCAGGATTGGGGAGCCGCCTGGAGCAAATGTGTGCAGGTTTGAAAATGCCTAAGGCTGAGCTCAAGGGCCTAAGACTCTGGTGGCTGCAGCCAAGGACAAGCTGATGACAAAGGCGCATCAGAGATGGAAACTCAGGACAGTGCTGCGCTGTCTCGGGAGCCAGGGACGGGGAGGAATCAGCAATGGTGGCGTCACCATGCAAGTGTCCCGTGTCATGCAGAAAGCAAGCATGCTGAATTCTTACACAGATCCTTTAAACCTCACAGCAGCCCTGTAAAGGAGCTGTCCTTACTAGCCTCAACTCATGGGTGAGGAAAAACGGAGTCAGAGAGGTTAAGTAATTTGCTTCAGGCCACACAGCTAGTGAGTGGTGGAGGAGGCTGGGGATGCACATGAGGATTTCGAACTGGGCCTGGCACCGCACTCGGCTTTGCCCCAGGACACCCTCCCAGGAGGGGCAGCCGCCTCCTTGAGTTTCAGCAGCAGGAGGAGCTGGTGCCCTGGGAGGGAACATGATTCAGGAGACCTGGTGGTGGGGAGGCAGCGTGGCTATGAGGGAAGGAGACGGGGCTGAGGGGTGGCAGGGAGGGTAACATTAAGGAAAGATTTCTTTTCTCTCACGAATTGAGATATTTAAAGAAAAATATTTCAGGAATGTGGTTCCTTTTAAAATGAGAGCTACGGAGGAGAAAGAGCCAGGAAGAGAGGTGGAGGTGGGTGTACCTCGAACCCTGCCCCATCCCCAGCTTCTTTGGAGAGACACCTGCAGGCTTGAGGGGGCAGCAGCCGGCAGGAGAGGAGGGGCTGCTCCAGCCTGCAGAGAGCCAGGGCTTAAGGGCAGGCTGGGGCCAGCACCCCTCCTCTCAGAGCCTGGCTGTGGGGCTTGGGGAAGTTATTCTGCCTCTCAGTTTCATGTGCTCTGGAATGGGTAGGATGGTGTCCCGTTGGGTGGTTGCGGTGGGATTGAAGGAGGTGAACTGAAGGGGAAAGGGTAGACAGAAGGGAGGAGGCGGGGCCAGGGCTGTTGGAGGAGAGCGCTTCCTTCTCTCAGGGGCAGCATGTACAGGGGTGGCCGCTGAGCTGGGCTGGCTTTGCCCCTCCTGCTCCATCTGCCCAGACCCTTCCCATCCCTGAAGGCCAGTCCAGGGCTCACCTCCTCCAGGCTGCCTGCCCTGACTCCTCAGGCCGCCTGTGCTCTCTGAGGGAGAGCTTGTTCGGGTGCAGATCTTGTCCTTATGTTGAACCTCACTCCAGGTCAACTTTCTCTCCTCCATCCAGATGGAAGATTCCAGGGAACAGGCTTAGAGTTTCAGGTTAACTGGGGATGAGGATCCCAAGGCACTTAATGGACAGAGAATCTGTTTTCAAACTTGTCTGTATTTCCCTATATTCTATAGTGGCTATGTATTACCTAAAAAGGCAAAAACAAAACAAGCAAAGCCACACAAGAAACCTAATCCCATCCAAATGAAAGCCCCCTGCAGTGTTTGACGTGCCCATTTTTACGCTGTTTATTTTGACCGTATTCTGTCACTCCATCACGTGGATGCCAGCCGAAATCCTCTCTGAGGCGGGCCCTGGGTTCTTTGGCAGGTCAGGCCAGCCAGAGCTGTGCCCTGTGCACTGTGCTGGGGGAGAGGAAACCAAAGCCCAGCAGGGCCTGGGGGCTGGGGGGGTCTCCCCGATCTGTGATCACCAGCTGCTGGGGCAGACGCCAAAGGATTACTCAGCCCAAAGCCCTGAATCTGCTGACTAAGCTGCCAGAGGCCACCTTATCACTAATACAATTATTCCCCCAGGGGACAGGTCAGCAACTTCCTCTGACTCCCAGGATGCCTGGGCCGGGTGGGGGTGGAGTGAGAAGGCGTGACAGAGGCAGCAGGACAGACCTCTCTCTGCACCCTCAGGGCCCTGGCAAGGAATCTTCTGTCCTAGCCTCTCTAGGGGGAGCGGCTCTTCTGGCTTCTTGTCTGGGGCAAGCAGCCACAATACTGGGTCCCAGGAACAAATCCTCCAGGATTTCTTTTTTATTTTATTTTATTTTTGAGACGGAGTCTTTCTTTGTCGCCCAGGCTGGAGTGCAGCGGTGTGATCTTGGCTCACCGCAACCTCTGCCTCCTGGGTTCAAGCAATTCTCCTGCCTCTGCATCCTGAGTAGCTGGGACTACAGGCACCCGCCATTGTGCCCGGCTAATTTTTGTGTTTTTAGTAGAGACGGGGTTTCACCATGTTGGTCAGGCTGGTCTCGAACTTCTGACCTCAGGTGATCCACCCACCTCCGCCTCCCAAAGTGCTGGGATTATAGGCATGAGCCACTGTACCCAGCCCCAGGATTTATCTTCCTTCCTTCCTTCCTTCCTTCCTTCCTTCCTTCCATCCTTCCTTCCTTCCTTCCTTCCATCTTTCCTTCCTTCCTTCCTTGCTGCCTGCCTGCCTGCCTCCCTCCCTTCTTTCTTTCTCTCTTGTTCTTTCTCTCTCTCTCTTTTTGAGACAGAGACTTGCTCTGTCACATAAACTGGAGTTCTGTGGCGAGATCACAGCTCACTGCAGCCTCAATCTCCTGGGCTCAAGCGATCCTCTCACCTCAGCCTTCCGCGTAGCCGGGACTACAGGTGAACACCACCATGCCTGACTTTTTAGTTTTTC